GACCGAAAGGATCCAATAAAAAATTAAGAGGATAAGCAAGGAAAAGGGTCTTAAGAAAATCATTTCTATACCCTAATGAGTAACTGTAAGGACTAAGGCCTTTGGAGAAGTATTGGAAATGAAAGCGTAAACGAAAAGGACAAAAAGGTCACTTTCCAATTTTTAAAGAAATTTCTTGATATTTAATTCTTTATCTATAGGGAATTTCAAGATGCTCAAGGACTAAAAAATGACCAACAAGAGATGAAGAAATTTTTAGGAAAATTATGAATTTTGTTTTGGGAAAAATAATAATAAAATATTCTGAAAGTGGCAAATTACCAAATTACCCTGATCATATGGATAATTACGAAAGTGCCCTTCGGTTGAAAATAAAAACCTCAACATATGACTATCTGCACAAAGTCCTTCGAATCTCAAAATCATGTCGTTGGATTTTTCCCAAATTTGAATACAATCTAGAACATTTAAAGATCATCAAATCCAACAGTCGGAATTCAAACTCGAAGTTGTTAGCTCGTTGATCGGAGAGGATATTTCCGATGAATTATCCAGAAAATTCCAAATCACGACGATTTTGGAGCTCTCAATNGCTCTCAATGTCGGTGGAAGCTTCCCCTATAAAGTCTGAAGTTGGGACAAAGTTTTAAAACAAGAATCGAGTGATGAGAATTCCTAAAACTCGAGTTTGAAGCTCTTAGATTATGGATTTTTCTTTCAGGGATTTCTTCCAAATTCGAGAGCTATGGTTAATCATTTTCCTTCCTACCAACTCCTACATATTTCATATGGGATTTACAACAAGTTTTGTGAAGGAATCAGGCACTAAAAAGTTTTATAATCGGCTGCCCAACAAAAGGTTTCTAGATATACTCTGCCGAGAAACATATTTTCCGACGAACTTTGGAAGGTTATAACTTGTGCTACAGACCACGAAAAGGTATGAACTTGGTCTCTACTTCTTTCTTGAAACTTCATCTAAAGGTTTCATGGTGAAATCGAATCCATTAGATGTTTATATAGATGTAAAAAGGTAAAACCAGAGGGGTCTGATAAGAAAAAATCGCGATTTTTCTAGCTACCAATGAAGGAGATGAAGTCCAAAGTCAAAGGTCAAACTTTGACCGATAAAAGTCAAAGATAGGTATATGCTGACCTTCCCTCGGTTTTCTCAATTTTAACCTCCTTCCTGACCGGTTCTCACAAAAATCTTTATGGTTCCAGAAACTAGACAAAATAAGGAGTCTGTGGAAGGAAATTTGAGATAATTCGGATACTGAAAGCTCAATAACAAAAATTCCAAATGTCGACGACGATGTAAGTAGTGACCTTGGACGTTTTGTTAAAAAATACTTGTAGGGAATCCATTGGATTTTCCATATGAACCCTAGAATAAGTATGAATTTTGGATATATGAAATAAAAACAAAGACAACGGTGAGTTTAGACCCTGAGCTAATCAAAATGCTCAGGATTTAAGTAACATTAAAATAACCCACTAAATGAACTCCTAGGATGACTTATGAAAATTTGAAAGCTATTGGAACACGATAAGTAGCAAAACCAAGAATTATGGGTAAAATGACCAAAATGCCCCTAGGATGACTTATGAAAATCCAAGGTTTATACGTGCTCCAAATGGTTTCATACTTCTTATAAGGTCTATAATGAAGGACATGAAGATATGTTTGAGGTTTCAAGTTGATTGGAGCAAGTTTGGAACCTAAACCAAGTTAGGACCCAAGAAACACCTAAAGGAAACACCACAAGAACCAAGACGCTTCTAGAACCCTCAAAAGAACTCCTAAGGAATCTATGACCTTCTAGAACAACTCATGCTAAGATGGGTTTATATTGTTACAAATGCACAACTTATGCTTAAAGGAATTATGAACATTGGAAACTTACAAGATTGAGAACCAAGAACAATACCACACAAGCTTTACAACTACCCAAGGTCCTCAGACACAAAAACTCTAATCATTTCCAAAGTGACCTATGACCTCACACCAAGCGTTGCTTTTTGAGGCCCAAGATTTCTTCTTCTANNGTGGGATGCCTTGCACCATGTTTCATTTGCAGAATATCATGATTGACCTCATTTCTTTCACCTAAAAGAGATGCCCTACACCATGTTACGGGTACCAAAAAGATTTGCAGGATGCCATGTTCATGTATGCACCGACCACATGACCTTTATGGTTTATCATGGGGAGTAGTCTAGGGCAATGGTGGAACAAGAAGATAGTAAGTTACCCTGGCGAAGAATCAAAGTCTCCTAAGACCTCCCACGGTACAACGTGCTCATTATTTAGACTACGCTGCTTGGAATGCATGAAGCATTGAGCGTAGGTGTTCAGACTGTATCATAGGGCAAGCCCTTGATGCAGGATTAGACTACATCTCTTGGAACTCAAGAAGTCTTGGATGGTGGTTTTCAGACTATGCTGCTTGGAATGCATGAAGCCTTGGGCATAGGTTAGAAAACGGTATCGGAGGGCAAGCTCTAAGATGCGGGTTAAGACTACGTTGCTTGGAACTCATGAAACCATGAACGTAGGTTAAGACTGTATCGCTTGGAACGCATGAAGCCTTGGACACAGGATTGTTAGGTGCATAGCTAGTGCCGTAAATCCTAGGGGGAGTGTCTTGGAGAACGAATCAAGAACGAAACAAGAACAAAGAAAGTACTAGGAATAAGAGAAAGATCAAGGTCTAGAACATAGATCAAGATCAAAGTTCTAAGGACAAAAACCAAAAACCAAGAATCATGTACTAAGGCCCTTAAAGGATAACCAACGTTTCATAATCCAGGGACCAAGGTCCTCAGGATAATCAAGATAAGAACCCCAAGTCAAGAACAAGAACTAGAGAACTTAAGTACTTACAACAATAACAATAACAAGAATAAGACAACAACAAAGAATGTGGTACCCTAGAATATTAAGGACACGATTAAGAGCCTACAAGTAGGCTACTTACAAAGTCTTTGTCTCATTCTTTATTCTCCATTTTTTTTAGGTAATAAGGAGTTGGTCGAGGTCTGGAGCGGACTCTGAAGCAGGGTGCCATAGACAAGCCTCACTCGTTGTCCTCAACCCTTTTGTTTTAAAATGTTTTGTGCCCGTTCCTTATTTTTTGTTTTAAAATGTTTTGTGTCTGTTCCTTATTTTTTGTTTTAACTTCTATGTTGTGTTTTAAATACTTATGTATAAACTTTATTTTGATATTATGAAAATATAATTTTTTAAATTCCTTTGTTTATTTCACGAAAAATTTACCCGTCTTTTAGAACCATCGCGACAGCCCGATCCTTACAAAGTAGTATTAGAGCCCAAGGTTTCTCTATGGCCTAGCTTAGGAGGACTCCCTACCGAGACCAAGTAAGTATGCCTTTAAACTCTTAACTTGAAGTATGCCTAGAACTTTAAGTTATTGGATGCATGATCATAGGGTTACTATTTAAGATAAGACTTAAGATAACTTAAGACCTCCAAGATTAGAGGGTTAGACTTTTAATTATGGTGACTTATTCGGATGAAACAATATTATTTACTTGTATTGATTTTCACCAAAAACCATTAATTTTATCCATTTGAATATGAGACTTATTTAAATATTGTATTTTTTTTTTTTATCATTTATTCCGTTTTTTTAATATTCTCAACCTAAAAAATCCTATTAGTTTCATAATATAATGTTTTATACATATTTAAATTTAATTAACATACATATTATCCATGAATATTCTATTTGATGCTCTTAAAATACATATAAATTTGAAAGTTTATAGTTTTATAGATGGAATAATGTTTAAAATTTTTCAATGTATCAAATAGCTTATAAATTCAACACCTATTCAATAAAAAATCAAAAGTGGAAAGATTAAACTAGTTATATAAGATTACATATCGTTTTCAGTGTTTGTAATTGTTTCTAAAATCACTTTAAACACTTGTGATAGGACTCTTAAATGTATATTAAGAACAAGTATCAAAGAAACCAAAGAAAACTTACCCTAGTAGTTAATTATAAAAGTTGTTAGAAGTAGGATTTAAACCCACACCCTCTCATGAGGACAAGAACTTGAGTCTGGCACCTTAAACCACTTGGCCACCCTGACTATTTATTATNNNAGATCTTATATTGGTTGAAGAGGGGAATAAAGCATTCCTTATAAGAATGAGGAAAGCTCTCCCTAATAGACGCGTTTTAAAACTTTTAGACATACGACAATACGTAACAGGCAAAAACAAACAATATCTGCTAGCAACTAGAGAGGGGAACCAAGCATTTCCTTTAAGGTTGTGGATACCTCATCCTAGTAGACATATTTTAAAATCGTGAGGCTGATGGTGATACATAATTAGCCAAAGTAAATAATATCTGATAGAGGTGGGCTTGGTTTGTAACAAATTGTATTAAAGCTAGTCATCCAGTGGTGTGCCAACGAGGTTGCTGGGAACAGAATGGGGTGGACTGTGAAATCCCACATCGGTTGGGGAGGGGATGAAACATTTCTTATAAGCATGTAGAAATCTCTCGCTATTCAACGTGTTTTAAAATCGTGCGGTTGACGACAATATGTAACAAGCCAAAGTAGACAATATCTAGGCTAATACTCATAATTTGTTGGAATAGTTCAGTTGGTTAAAGCGTATGATTGTTAACGATCAGGTTGGGGAGGTTCAAGCTCTCTTTTTAGCAATGGGAATGAATCATTCCATTTTAGTATGTGGAAAAATTTAACCCATCAACCAAAGTAGACAATGTCATATAATTACGGAGGTTCGTGATTCCTAACATTGTAACATAGTCTTAATCTAGCATCCTTAATAATAATGTTGAGTTCTTTTTAGGGGTACCTTCGATATAAAAACATAATGTAAAAAATATTTTCGTATAAAGCAGTTACATCATGCATATTGTAGTGACTCTAGGCCACTAAAAAACTACGATCGTTACATATGATCTACACCTGAATTGAAATATCATCATGGCATGAATTAAAATATCTTTTGATAATTTCAACAACATTTTCTTCACATCTTCATTGAAGCATATTGAATTATTGATGTCTATTGGTTCATATCATTCTCCACTTCTTCAAGAGGATTCGTCCTCGAATCTATTTGTGGAACTTTGCTACAAATAATAAGATATGAAAATACAAAGGACCTCACAACAATCTCTCACGGGTATACACTCAAGGATTTTTTTAGGCCACTCTGTTTGCACTCATTTACACAAATGAAGCTCTCATTCTCACCTCTCTTTTAAATAGAGCAAAGATTGAATTTTGAACCCTGGGTCGATTAAAAACTAAAAAGATAAAGATAAATAAAAATCAAATTGAGAAGAAATGCAAAGGAAACATATATCCGATCTTGAGCCTAAAGCTCTGATACCTTTTCTGATAAGATAAGGAATCAACTACAAGAGGAATAAGATTCGGATTACTTTGTTGATCGAATATCTCAAGGCAAGAACATTGTTTGAGATTCGAATCACTCCACAAGCAAGATCGGTCATGTCTAGCTTGAATGATTCTTGTTGATCAAATATCTCAACGCAAGAACACTTGCTTGAGATTCGAATCACTCTACAAGCAAGATTGATCATGTCGAGCTTGAATGATTCTACATGCAACCTAAACTACATAGAATTGCAAAGAAACTTAGCCATTGGCTAAAGAAAGCACAAATGCTTCTTTTACTAAAGCTGAGACGAATTAGTTAATTAGTTTGATTCAAGGGTTTTTGCTTCAACTAAAGCTTGGATCGTTGAGTTTAGGATTAGGGTTGCCTAGTCAATTTGGTATCAGAGGCTAGGTTGCATCTATATGGCCTATTCTAGAATTAATTTTATCTCTCGTTTAT